GAAAAATCGCCCAAGATGCCTTTGTCAAAAATGTCCTCGCCCACTCACTATTTTGTTTTGTTTTTTTCTTTTTCTGTTAACCTTTTTGATGTGTGTGTGTGTGTGTAATTGAGAGAGAGAGAGAGAGAGAGAGAGAGAGAGAGAGAGAGAGAGAGAGAGAGAGAGAGAGAGAGAGAGAGAGAGAGAGAGAGAGAGAGGCACACAACCTTATTCGTTTCACATTTGGGCAAGTGAGTTGAAACAGCTCACGGGTTTATTTTTGGAAATCCGGTTCTCCAAACTCTCCACCTGCAGGAGGATTTTTAATGCACAAACACCAGAACCTGGACTGCACAAAGATGCTTTTGGCTTTGCCATCATGTGTAGCTTGTGTATTCATAATTTGGGCAACGTTCCCCTGAAATATGGGGTGTTGGTTCCTAACTTCCAACTGGGATCTTCGCCAGCACCCCTCTGCATTTTAATCCTCGGTAGCTGGTGGTGGTGGGACTGTCGGGGTCTAACCTCCTGATGAGTCGTTGCAATTCCGACGAAACGGTCTGTCACAGTTATTGTTTGATGATCTGCGCGACTCAGCGCGAGTGTGGATGATGATGGAATCTATCACATGGTTGTCTCCTTTCCTATTGTCTGCATACGTATCCTGTCGGGGTCTAACGTCCTGATGAGTTGGCGCAACTCCGATGGAACGGTCTGTCACAGTTATTGTTTGATGAGCTGCGCGAGTGTGGATGATGATGGAAGCTATCGCATGGTTGTCCCCTTTCCTGCTGTCTGCATACGTACCATGTTAGGATGTCCGTATGCGGACGGTGTTCTCACAATTACTGTATGCTTATTGTTCCTTTGGGAAACTCAAGTGGCTATTGTGTTTTCTAAATTCAACTGACAACAACACACGCAGGAAGGCAAGGCTCACAAGTCCTGCAAATTGGACTTGTTATTAAATTCTCATGCCCCAGTAAACAATTCTGTTAATAATCGAGTTGTCCTTCGTTCTGGCTCTCTAAGTGCCCGGTGGCGATCATATGCTAAACACCAGCTGAAGACACTGCTAGAAAATCGAAGACATTGAAGGGAGCTGAAGACATTGACCACTAGAAAACACCAACTGAAGACCACTAGAAAGCTGAGTTTTTCCAGTAGCTGATGACTACTGGAAAAGGCAATACATTGACCATTTTCATCTAGTAGCGCATAGGGAAATTTCAAATTTGGTGCTCCTTTCTTTGAAGACACTGACCACTGGTAAACTGAAGATATTGGCTACTGGAAAAGCGAAGACAAGATGACCGTTTTCGTCCATTAAACCACCAGTACACCCGGGCCTGGAGGCGCTGCATTGTATACCAAGCTTTTCCGAACCGCCAGCGGCACACTTTTTGTGTTTGTGGCTGGCGCCGCCAGCCATTGTAGTCCGGTCGCCCTGAGCCGCAAAAATTTTGGAGATGGAAACTTGCGATGTCCTGCAAGGCTGGGCCCGTGTACTGGCCGCTTAACTCACGCGAAGCTTCAACTCTTGCTGCTTTCTTGGAATAGATTGACCACTGGAGAGCTGAATACATTGTCCAGTGGACTAATGAAGATTTTGACCACTGGAAAACTGAAGACATTGGCCACTAGAAAACTGAAGACATTGGCCACTAGAAAACTGAAGGCATTGGCCACTAGAAAACTGAAGATATTGACCACTAGGAATCAAGTTATTCTTCAGTCAACTGAAGACATTGACCATCCATTCTTGTGAGCTTAGAGTGCTGGTGCGTCGTACGTACTCCAGTTGAGACCAGGCTTGGGTAGGGACATGCGGTGCAGAAGACGTGGGAAAACGTACGCAGACTGGCAGAGGTGTTTGGAAGAATGTTGGTGATCTTCGTAAGATGTGCTGCAACAACATGGCTTATCCGGAAAGATTGTGCGGTCACTGAGGATGGTGCGTGGTTTCTCATTCTACATGCCTTGATTCCAGTCTGCTTTCTCGGCATTCAACAGACCGGTTGCCGCTCTTCTATATCATCCCCTTTAGCTAAGCGCATTTAGAGCAGGGCAATGGATACAGATAGCATTGCACAAAAGTGACAAAATCTTATTGCCAGACGAAGCACCACGCCTGTGAAGCTAACCGTAAAAATTGGTGTGTTCCTTGGACGAGTTTCCTTGGCAAAGAGCGTGGAACTAGGGGAAAAAGGACAAAAGCCACAAAACTAGCAGTGCGCAAAACCTTATGGCTAGGAGAATCACAGCACCTCTGAACCTAAACTTAAAATGGATATGCTGTTGGTGGGTTGCTGGGATGAAACGAGAGAGAGAGAGAGAGAGAGAGAGAGAGAGAGAGAGAGAGAGAGAGAGAGAGAGAGAGAGAGAGAGAGAGAGAGAGAGATGTGGTGGTCGATTTGTATTCCATAGTTTCATGTCCGTTTTCTCATGACTTGGCTGAAGTTGGTTGTGGGTTATGGTAGTTCAATGCTGTGTTATGATTAGCAAGTTAGCATTATGTAATAATAATAATCGGGCATTTGTTGTCCTCTGTGGTTTGTTCACATGTTGCAGTCAGCTGTGTTTACAGGTGTTGTCGGATTTGTGCTAGGTATCGGCTGGTTTCTTGCGGCTGTAGTGCCCCTTATAGTAGTATGCTGCAGCCGTCGCGAAAGCGAGAGAACAGTGAAGATCTTGCCTGAATGGTCAAAGAAGATGTATTTTTGGCTTCCTGTCGGCCTGATGGTTCTACTGTTGGGTATGTCCATGTACGTATTATGATTCTTAAAAAAATTCTTCTGTTTTCGTTTTGTTTTTTTCTTTTTCTTGTGGGAACATTATTGTTTGCTGTTGTTCATATTAGTGGTACATTGGTAGCGAAATCGGCCATCTGCGCATTCGCAGCGGGGGGGGGGGGGGCGGGCTACCTCGTCACAAAAGGGTCACGTTTGCCACCTTGTGCTATTTTGTCTACGCACTCCTTAGATCAGTGTCAAACACGTATATTATTTTCTTTGCTGTTATTTTCTTCGCACTCCTTAGGCTAGAGTTGGAGCTATAGGAGGATCACGGCGGAGGCCAGGAGTGTGGGACTTACCTGTCGACTCACCTGGGCGTCATCGCTGCGGTTCGTCTTCAGGGCGCTCCCACCTGCATCACATCTTCAAGGCAACACCTTTACGCTGGTCAGTCTCTGGCTGAGAGAGAGAGAGAGAGAGAGAGAGAGAGAGAGAGAGAGAGAGAGAGAGAGAGAGAGAGAGAGAGAGAGAG